ATGTTGTACATAATCTCCTCTAAACATATGTATGTGAAACGAGAGGTCAGGCACAGCACCAGTGGCGACTGGTCATCAGGCACAGCCCCACCTAGTGTCAGCAGAAAGTATTAAAATAATAATAATAAAAAAATACATCTTAAAATATATTGTACGATCATGTTTAATCATCTGATTCGTCTGTACATTGCTGTTTTAGTCTCTGTGTTCTTCTAATTAGTGTCTACAGTGTGCCTATTGAGCTGTTTTGAGCGATGTGGGTCAAGCCCCGATCAAGCCCCTCTCTCTCACTGTAAGGGAATGTGTGCTGTGAAAACCATACTGCGCATGCTCAGAGTCTTTTTCTATTTAATGTGTGGGGCAAAAAAATAATCACCATAGGGGCACTGTGCTGACATACCCACCAAACGTCATCTCACATAATTCACAGCTGATTGGCTGTAAGTACGTGTGCCGCGAAAAGAAAAATCTATCGATTAGATTTATGATTCGACTTTTGAAACTACAAAATAATTAATAGAGATTTTTGTCCAGAAGGATAGGCAAATGGACTACATCTTCAAGTCAAGGTAAGACCGCAATTTTATTGAAAATGGGATCTTACTGAGAGAACAATCCAATATTTAAATGATAAAATTACATTTTTTGGGTATCCTTTTGTTGAACTGTCTGTTTAAAATTAATCGAAGCATCAGACTAAAAAAGCTTTTGAAAATAATATTATATTTTGATTTAGGTTATAATATTAGGTTATAATATTTGTAAACCTTAAGACGAGTCAGTGCTAGTGCCTCACCAGCCATGAAGCTTCTAGGGCTGTCAAGTTAACGCGTTAATAACGCGTTAAGCGTTAATAACGCGTTAACGCAAAAAAAAATTAACGCCACTAATTACTTTAACACGATTAACGCATGTGTATTTTTTGTCCTCGGCCGCCCCGTAGTTTCAGAGCGCATCAAGTTTAAAATACCATCTACAAGCTGATGCTGACAGCCCCGCTCCTGCCGTCCGCTTGTGGCAGACCACACTTCCACGCTCACCGGCAGGCCCGGACTGGCCATCGGAAGGACCGGGAGGGTGTGTGTATGTGTGGCGCGAGCGAGCGAGGCACACCTTACGTGTATTGCTGTTGTTAGCATCTGGTGCTAGCTAGCTGTGCTAACGGATATAAGGAGCTGTTTCAATGAAAACAGAGGAGCGACATTTCGCTGACAAATGCGCCGAGCACTTGACTTTATGCAGGTAGCCAGACAGTGGGACATTGTACGAAAAGTCAGCACACTCTGCACGGATAGTGCGCGCAACATGATTGCATATTGCATATGCCTTGAGCTGCACATAGCTCCAACGATCCATCACAGTGTCTCTCCACACACACACACACACACACACACACACACACACACACACACACACACACACACATACACACACACACACACACACACGCA